GCTGCACAGAACCGAGTGTAGATGGCCGCCTTTACCTTACAGGAAGTCTTCTCTCCTAGGAACGGAGGCAGCGTGACTCCTGGCAGGACGCAGGCCCAGAGTCAGGGGCTCGCTCTAAGCTCTACTCCTGGTCCTCTCCAGCTTGTGACTATGGCAAAGTCACTTAATCTCTCTGTGCCTTGATTTCTCCATCTGCAAAATATGAAAAGCAACATGCAGCACCTCATGAATTCATCACCACCTTAGGAAGAGACATACACAGGGCGTCGTCCTCTTTGCAACTGTCAACACGCACACGTCAGCTTCCTCCAGGAAACAAAAGTTCTCTTTCATGTCCGTGAACAACGCATTCCCCTTTACAGTTTATTCTCCTAGATTTGACGCCTGCTGTTTGGACTGTGACCCTTGCCCAGGCTCCTGTGGGAGCAAGCTCTGGCTGGGAAGGTTTGTTCTCTGCCAGCTACGTCAGCTCTGCGCTCTGTGCTCTGCCTGAGACGGTTCCATGAGCTCCCAGTTCCTGTGGACCAGAAGCCCTGCACGCAGCCGTGTCCTCCCTCCTGCCCAGACTCGGGGTAGGCTCAGCCCGTGCGGCAGCATCGGAGGAGCTCCACACCAGGATTCCCACTGTCACCCTTATTCATTCTGTGATGTCTCCAGGGACTTCTGGGGTGAGAGGATCAGCCTAGTCTCCTTAAAATTGGTAGAACTTAAAACCTTACAAAACACTTTCTTACCCGTTATGTCATTTGGCCATCAATTGAACTTTATGTGAATTTTACGAATAAAGAAACTGATACTCAGAGAGGGTGAAATACATGCTCAGAACTCCCCAGTTAGTCAGAAGGAGAGAATAATTGACACTGAATTATCTGTGTTAAGATCTAGTACAGTTCTTCCCACCGTGAATGAAGGCTGTCCCTACACATGCTCAGGAAGGACCCGCAGCGCTGAGATACGGGTCAGGGAATCTGAGTCTCGCCACTAGGTCCTAGGGGAGCCTTGGGTGGTGGCACTGGATAGCTGGCCCCTTATGATTTCCATTCCAAAGGATTCAGTGCTTCCTGCTCTCCAGGGTTGACAGGACTAAAACTCTCTGGGCTGTTTTGAACCTCAACAGGTCAAGTGAGCCGACAGCCCTGAGCCCCTGCAATGATGCAGCTTAATGCAGATAACCATCATGGAAGTGCCGTCCCACTTTCTATGCAATTCCTCATTTGAGCAACAGGAAACCAGAGAGTGGAGTTAAATAAGAAACACAGGGAGTCATAATAGGACCATTTTCCCCAGAATTCGCCAATCTTTTCCTTCGACCTGGAAACTAGCCCACCTCGTCCACTTCTGCTGACCATTAGGGACTGAGCCCCAAACCCTTCCCTGTGTACTTAATTTTCCCCAAAGAACAACTTCATCCACATATGGAGCATGTATATCTTGTCAAGAACATAATGGTGGATATGAACCTCAGAAGGTTAAAAGTCCTGATTAGTCCCTTGAAAGAGAAAGGAATTAGACCAAATTGATCTTTTTTCTCTACTACATTGTAGTTTAAAACAAAAGAACTTCTCTTACCCCTTTGGATATAATAACTCCCCTACACATTACCATGAACTCTGAACTATCTTACAGAATCCTCTGTTACGCGAGACCCCAGAGCCCACACAATTCCTACGCGCCTTTGGATCTTATGTGCCTGCTCCTAGTGGTTAATATGGATTCACTGGAAAAACAAGAAAGAAAACGAAAGAAAAAGAGAAAGAAAATGTTTGCATTGCCCTGTGAAGATGGATTCTAACTGCTCAGACAACGCTGTACATGTGACTCAACCAACAAGCAAAATCTTTAATGGTTAAACAATTTTCAGTTAGCCAGAAAGGGGTTATAAAAGCACTACCACTTACTACTTCATGATTTGAGCATGTTGTTTTATAAGCATTAATTTCCTAGACTTTCAATGTCTGAATTAAATAATATATCAAAAATGTCTGGCTTATCATTAAATGCTCAATAAATGATAGTGGGCAGTGATATTAATGTCGCTAGATACCGATTTATTAGTATACATTTTCAGTTTCTAATTTCTAACTGTGATGGTCTAGACAAGCAGCAAAGGTTACATACAGAAAACTCCGGCTCCCAACATGTGAGTATGACCAGTGAGTCTGCCCACCCCTGACTGAGGGCTGAGTCTCTGGGACTCTGCTAGACACGGCTAACACAGCAGAAAACAGATGGGTAAGACATCGCTACATAAACTCAATGGAAGGTGGAGAGAAAGAATAGACAGAAGCTGGAATGGACATAGCTGCAATCTTAAATATGTAGAAAAATAATCTACTTTGCGTGTAAAGACAAATGGAAAGTATGAAAGAACAGAAAATTCAAAAATATAAAAATGTATTTTTGGGTAAAAAAGAAATTCCATGGCCATCTTTAAATTTACCACCTTTGGGGTCAATAAATGAGAAAAATCTATTAAAAGAAAAAAATTAAAATGAGTTAATACATTGGCAACATGCTCAGTTTTCATGCTGTGTCATATGTGGGGTGTTTGTTTTTTTTAGTAAATTATTTTATAAAGCTATAGTTATTTTAAAAAGCATTTTGCAATCAGCTAATGTCAATGGAATATTGATAATAATATCAAGAAACATACATATGACTAGCTCATATCTAAAAAATTAAACAGTTATTAATGAATGACAAGCAAACTATGCTACAATTCATATTCATAGTATAAATTGAAATGGGTGTGAGATTTTATTAAAGTTGTCATACAAAGCATGCTCATTTGTGGGATTTTATGAACAATAACCTTATGCTAGACAATGCTCCTTGAAGAGCCAACAGAACAAGGAATAATGATGAGATGGAAGAAGTTCCCTGCCTGAAATCCGTCCACGTTATTCTCATCAGAAGGTGGCTGCACATGACTCCAGAACAAAGTACTGCACAAAACCCAAGCTCCCCTCCCTGGGCAGGAGCAGGGCAGCGAGTCCGTCCTCCCAGCCTCTGCGGCCACCACTGGTACACAGAGTCCTGTCCCAGGGTGGGGGTTCGAGTCCCTTCTCCGAGCCTCTGCGGCCACCACTGGTGCACAGAGTCCTGTCCCAGGGCAGGGGGGTCGAGAACCTACCAAAATCCCCCTTTTGTGGCTCCTAGTTCATTTAAAAAAAATATTTAAAGTCAGAGGCAGAAATTTCCTCTGGACATCTATTTTAGGCAAGCAAGTTATCCGACCTATTTTGTTTCTGTGTATTTGATTTTGAAAACCAAGCATTCGTAAGTGGCCATCTCCAGAACTGGCCCGAGTGCTGGGCGCCCCGCCCTGGGCTGGGCAGGTCCCATCTCAGCGGGACCACAGGGTGGGTGTGGTGTGTAGGGGCTGTGCCGGCACCCCTCCCCACCGCCCCACCCTCCGGCTACAGCACTCCATGTGACCTGGGGGCAGGGGGTTGTTTATTTTGGGTTCCTTATGAATCCCATGGTTTGAGTGTCCTACACCATTCTTTCTTGGATTTCTTCTCCAGTTTGTGGACACAGAGCCCCAGGTATTTTTCAGAATGGGGACCTCGAGGCAAGGGTTCCGAGGCCCTGCATGTTGGAAATGTCTATTTCACTAAGGGGATAATCATCTCTCCCAAGGCTGCAAAGGCCTTGAGGCTATTTTATTCTACGCTATGCATGTATAGTGTTCAGGTTTACGAACGGTTCCACTCCATCGCCAGGCCAGTCTGCAGTCTGATCCTGGTTCCCCCGGGAAGCTCAGAAGCACGGGTTTTCTCTCTAAACAGCTCTACGGTCTTCTCTTTCTGTTGGTTTTCTGGAGGTTGATGAGTTTAGGTTTTTTTCATTCTTACTGCTTGACATGAGTGCCCCACACAACCTGGAAACTGTTCACCCCCCAGAACTTTCTTCTTTCTTTATTAATTTTCCCCTCTTTATTTCCTTTATTATTATTAGTTTTTTTGAATTTCTACTACTAAATGGATTTGGACTGTTGGATTGTCTAAATTTATCTTCCATTGGTTTCAGCTGTTTTTTTTTTTTTTTAATCTCTTTTTCTTCTCTACGTTCCGGAAGGGTTTCTAACATCTACCTTTGACTTCCTCAATTGCACTTTAAATTTTCAGTACTCCAATTTTAATTTTCAAAATTAGCTTTTGTCACAGTCATACATTTGCATTTATTTTGGTGAATTCTTGTCTTTACAAGAGGATAGAGATCAAGTCGCACTACTCTGTGATTAATATCTCACACAAGGTACCTTACATGTAAACAGCTGATCAATAATAGAGTGAAGAAATAAAGGGAGAAAGAAGTGAGTGAGGGCGTCTCTGCTCAGGGCCGGTGCTACTGTGTCCCCGCTCCTCACAACTGTAGAAAGTGGGTGTTACCAGGTCCCATTGTGCAGATGGTGGACAGAAGCTGGAAAGGGTACACAATTTGGTCATTTTTGCACAGTTTATGAGTAAGTCATGAGAGTTTTTGAGTTTTCACAGGGTGTCCTGAAGTAATTCAGGCAAAAGTAAAATAGTGAACAATGTCAGGACCTCCTGGGTTCCCCTTGTTGGGCATGACCTCTTAGCACCTCAGAGTTCAGCTGAAAAAAAGGCCTGGTTCCAACCTGGTGCCCCAGGGATTCTTGGTTTACTTTCTCATTCCTTGAATGGGTCTTGTTACCTCCAGTTCCTCTTGCTCAGAGATGGGGGGTCACCTTCTTTCTACATGGAAACAGGATCGTGGCTGTCATGTTTTAACCCTGCTCCATGGTGAGAAGTAGATTTTACATCTTGATCCCGTGTGCACATCCTATGTATATTGTAGAGAGATTCGAAACCATGATAAAATCAAACATTTCACAGAACAACACATACTTAGTATGTATGACATCTTCAAATACTTTCCATTTTACTTCTTTTTGCTGATATTAGTACTGCCTCCTCAGATTGATATCACAACTCACAAATGAATTGTGGCCACAGTTGGAGAAACACCGGTGTAAGTTAGCTGGGGTGTATTTTCTCCATGGTCTCTCGACCATGAGACTTGGTGTGTGATCGCGTGGTTGGTTCTCTGCTGCTGCCGGAACAGTGGCGCCTGCCTTGACCTCTTCCAGCCCAATACCTCATCACCACTTATGATAATAAGATACTGAACACATTATCTATGATACCGGTTGTCACGTACAGTTG